AGATGTTCACTGTCATCCTTCTTTTTCAACAGTTTTGGAATTTCAACCAATAAAGCAAGAAAGGGAAACATAAGGTATATATATTAGAAAAGAAAAAAGTAAAACAGTCCATATTTGCAGATGGCATGGTTGATTATGTAGAAAATTTCAAGGAATGTACAAAAAGAAAACAAACTTCCCCCCAAATCGCTCATAATTTACAAATGAGTTCAGCAAAGATGCAAGATAGAAGTCAACACACAAAATTCAATTGCATTTCTGTATTCAAAAAATGAACATGTGGAAACTGAAAGTAAAAGTATAATTTATAATTGGTCAAAAAATTAAATACTTAAATATAAATCTAAAATATGTACAGAAATTATATGCTAAAACTGTACACTGTAGAAGGAAAAATATAGTGTTTTTAATGTTTATTTTTGAAAGAGAGAGAGACATGGAGTGCAGGTAGGGGAGGGGCAGAGAGAGAGGGAGACACAGAATCCGAAGCAGACTCCAGGCTCTGAGCTGTCAGCACATAGCCCCACGCAGGGTTCAACCTACAGACCACAAGATCATAACCCCAGCCGAAGTCGGATGCTTAATTGACTGAGCCATGCTGGCACCCCAAAAGAAAAAAAAATTAAAATATCTAAACAAATGAAGAAATCAAACCATGTTCATGGGTTAGAAGAGTCAACATAGCAAAGACGTCAATTTTCCACAATCTGATACACGGATAATATAGTTCTTATTCAAATCCCAGAGAGATTTTCTATAGAATAAACAAGATCGTATTAAATTTTATATAGAAATGCAAAGCACCTAGAATAGAAAAAACAATTTTGCAAAAGATAAGTAAAGTTAGAGGAACCAATTACTCAATTTCAATAATTTTTATAATAGTAACAGGAATCATGACTCTATGTTGTTGGTGGAAAGATAGACACATCCATCAGTAGAATGGAAAAGATTATCTAGAAATAGACCAACAAAAATATCCTCAACTGATTTCAATAAGATGAAAAAACAATTAACCAGAGAAAGGAGAATTTTTCAACAAATAGTATTGAGCAATCAGCTACTCATAAGCCAGAAAGTTAAAAAAAAAAAAAGAGAGAGAGAGAGAGAAATAATTGTTACCTAAGCTTCACAGTTTATACGAAAATTAACTAAAAATGAATTTTGTAATTAAATGTGAAACTATAAAACTTTTAGAAAAAAATAGAAAAACTTTAGGATACAGGATTTGGCAAGACTCCTTTTTTTTATAGTTAAGAATTCTTAAACTTCACACAAAAACATCGTTCATAAAATTTTAAAAAATGGAAACTCGAACTTCATCCAAGTTTAAAACTGTGCAAAGAAAATGAAAAGGCAAGCTACCAATGGTTGAAATATATGTAAATCACATATTTGACAAAGGACTAGCATCAAGAAGATAGAAAGAGCACTGAAAGCTCAATAGTAAAAGGATAAACAGTCCAATTAGAAATAGAAAAAATATATGAAGGGACATTAAATGAAGAAGATATACGGGCGCCCAGGTGGTTCAGTTGTTGGGCACCAGACTTCGGCTCAGGTCATGATCTCGCGGTTCGGTTGGAGCCGCACATCGACCTCTGTGTTGACAGCTCAGAGCCCGGAGCCTGCTTTGGATTCTGTGTCCCCCCCTCTCTCTCTCTGCCCCTCCCCTGTTCACGCTCTGTCTCTCTCTGTCTCAAAAATAAATAAGACATTTAAAAAAATTTAAAAATGAAAAAGATATACAGATGGCAGATAAGCACATAAAAACTACTCAGCATACTCAGTATCATTGGCCATTAGGGAAATGCAAATTGAAACAATAATGAAATACTACTAACATCTATCATAGTGGCCAAAATAAAGCATCAATACCAAGTCCTGCAAAGGATGAAGGAAAGCTTGATCACTCATACATTGCTGGTGGCTATGTAAAATAACCACAATGGAAGATAGTTTGGCAGTGTCTTAAAAAACTAAATATGCAACTATCACGGGACCCAGAAATTGCGCTTTTGGGCTTTTATCCCAAAGAAATGAAGATTCGTGATCACCAAAAACCTGCACATGAATGTTTATTTCATGTAACTCTATTTGTAATAACCCAAAGCTGTAAACAACCTAAATGTCCTGCAGGGAGTGAGGAATTCAACCAATTGTGATATAGCCATACCATGGTGTATTATTCAGCATTGAAAAAGAACAGATATGGTTACCTGCAAAAGCCTGAATGAACCTCAAGGGAATTATACTGAGTGAAAAAAAGCCAATCCAGAGTTTACATATTATAGGATTCCATGTGTATAGTATTCTTATTAGCTGTTGCACAGCGTTATGGGGGAGGAGGAGGCAGGTAGGGAGTAGGCACATAAAGGACCATAGCAGTGATGGAAAATTTCTGCATGTTGACTGTGTCAAAGTCATATTTTGGTTGTGGTATTCTACTCTAATTTTGAAGACATTACTACTAAGGAGAAGTGGTTAAAGATTTTTATTTTTTATGACTAGCTTGGGAATCTCCAATCATTTCAAAATAAAAAATTCAGTGAAATAAGTTAAATAATTCACTTTAAATGGCTTTTCCCCCCTAAAATCAAGGGGAAAAGAAAGTTAATCTAGATTTAAAAATTAAGCTAATTGAATACGATATACAAAAATAGATGCTTGCTTTCAATTATAAAAGCAAGTCAGTGGGAACCTAGTCTGTGTTAGGCCCCAAAAGTGTACAGCTACCTTTGGGAATAATTTGAGATCAGTGTTTTGTTCCACTTAAAGTCTTGAGCTAAGGTGACCTCCTGAGGCTCCTTTTAGTTATATAAACTTTATGTCTAATAGCTTTCAGTTTTGCTATAGAAAAAAAAAGAATGGCTGATATAATTAATCTTGGAACAATACCAAATAGCATTTCAGTGACAGAAATAATGATGAATTTTTTGAAAAGTCTGACATGAAATACAAAAGAAGACCTTAAATCCATAACCATAAATATATCATTAAAATATAAAATATATAATGGCCTTTTTTTTCCAGAAAATGAGATTACTACTCTTAAGATTTCCTGTAAAATATTCACTTTTACTGACAGTACATTTTAAGAACTATTTTAAAATTTTTGCCTATGCTGTAGAGGTTTTTACTAGGAGCTGTGGTTGAGTGAGGATAAAAATAATGAACAAAAAAACCTGTCTTTGTTCTCAAGGATTTTGCTCCATATAAGTAACTCATTGTAAAAGGCTATAGAAGAAAAGTATTAAATGCTGATAAAGAGAATATGCCCTTAAAAACAAAAAAGGAGCACTGCATTTTTATTATTTCTCTTAGTCACTGTCTTAGTTCCTTCAGGCTGCTATACCAAAAATACCATGGACTGCGGAGCTTATAAACAATACAAATTTATTTCTCACGTTCTGGAGGCTGGGAAGTCGAAAATCAAGCCTCTGGAGGATGATTCAGTGTCTGCTGAGAGCCCATTTCTTGGTTTATAGATGGCTGTCTTTTCACTGTGTCCTCATATGGTAGAAAGGGGAAAGAGCAAGAAAGCCCTCCGGGAGTTCTTCTATAAGTGCACTAACCACCTCCCAAAGGCCCCACCTCCTGACACCAATATATTAGGGATCAGATTCGAGCATATGAACTTGGTGGCATAAAACGCTCAATGTAACACTTCCTTTCCAAGAGGACTCTCATAAATCTTTTTCTCAAGAATCTTGGTCTTGGGCTGTATTTATACAGCACCCAACCTAAAGGAGAAACCATAAAAATGTGTAGTGCATTCTCAAAATGGCAGGAGCCCTGGTGAAGAAAAACACAATGTGTGAAAAGACTATTGGTAGATGAAGTTGGAAAAGTAGTTTACAGTTGGAATTGCAATTGCCTTGAAATTCATACGAAAAATTTAGGATGTGTTTGTAAGCAAGTTTTTGGTGAAGGGGGTGCTCTCAAGCCACCAATAATTGAGGAAAAAAATATGAGAGCCATGTAAATGATGAAATTAAGAAGAGAAAATTATGGGCAAGGACAATCAATTAGGAAATCCATTTAGGTGGTGTGAATGGCAATAAAGAAAAGACTCTCGGGGCGCCTGGGTGGCTCAGTCGGTTAAGCAGCTGATTTTGGGTCAGGTCATGATCTCAAGGTCTGTGGGTTTGAGCCCTGTGTTGGGCTCTGTGCTGACAGCTCAGAGCCTGGAGCCTATTTCAGATTCTGTGTCTCCTTTTCTCTCTGCCCCTCCCCTGCTCACAGTCTCTCTCTCTCTCTCTCTCTCTCTCTTTTTTCTCTCTCTCTCAAAAACAAATAAGCATTTTTAAATAGAGAGAAAAGACTCATATAGTTTATAAATAATTTTTCTGTTATGGAAGCTTATTTAAAAATGGGTTTTATGGTGAAGGAGCCTATGATACTGGGAGGACAGTATGGTGTTAGTGGAAATAAGAATAAGGAACTGAAGGAAAATACTGAATCCTGATATGAACACATTTTGTTGCATGGGCAGCAAGTTGGCAAATCTATTTGTGGATGTAAATAAGGAAGCCATAAAATAAAGAGGAAAAGTTATAGAATGGATGAAGCAGTACTCAGTGAGAAAGCTATTTTGGTAAATGCTGAAGTTGAAAAAATGTGTACAGGAAAAAAATAGAATAAGAGAAGATAGAAAGTTTAGTATACATAAGAAATGTAGAGAAAAATAAAGAGATGAAGTAGTTTATGAACATAGAAAAAACTGTTGCATTTGGTGGGTAGGAAATAATGATCTTTGATGATGGTTTTCAGTAGTAATAGGGAGGCAACTTGTTTTCACGATGTTAAGTAATGAATTTAGACTATTTTTTCAATAGAGTTGGCAGTGAAAGCAAATGAAATCTTGTAAATAAGTGGAATGGAAAGTAATAGAAAAATTTTAACTAGCTGTAACTTCAACATATTTGTGAGAAAATAACCCATAAAAGTAATTTATGGCACCCCAAACATCTATATTTTAAAAATCATTACCAACAAAATAATGTAATTGTATTTACTTTTTTAAAATGTCAAATGTTTATGGATATCTGCATCTGCAGCAGACTGATCATTTTAATTCCAAATGTGAGTCTCATCAGGGAGTCTTCAATATCTGCTTTCAGTGTTCATTTCCCGAAGAATCTGAGAGACAAGACGAATATTAGACAACAAAAATATCTAAGTAAATTGCTTTCTGTAAATGATCACTATGCAATGCCTTCTATCTGTGCATGATTTTCCCTTTGCTCCCCTTGTTGGTATGAATACTCTTAGTCTATTTTGACTTTAGCTCATTATAAATCTCTTCCAAACTAAAGATAATCAGAAATAATATCTAACACCAAAATTAAAATTATCTCCAGCAAACAAGTGCCAATTGTCAAGTCTATGTGTCTCCTATTTCATACATCTATAAAGGGTTATTTCTTTACTTCCACTCCCTCCATTCACTTTATTTTTTTTTACTTCTCTTTTTAATGCTTATTATTATTTTTTTTATTTTATTTTAAGAGAGAGCATGAGCAGGGGAGGGTGGCAGAGGGGGAGAAAGAGAAAATCCCAAGCAGTTACATGTCAGCACAGAGCCCAACACAGGATTTGATCCCATGACCCTGGGATCATGATCTGAGCCAAAATCAAGAGTCAGACGCTTAACTGTAATGAGCCATGTTCTTTCTTGCCTCAAGGATTGAAGTATCCTCTCATCTACTACTTAACTGCATTTTATTCCTTAGGTGTCAGCTTAATTGTTACTTCTTCCAAGAAGCCTCTCAATTTGTTTCCCTCAAACTTAATTCTCTCGCAAGCACCTCCCTAATTTTTCTACTTAGCATACCTTAATACTTTTCAGATATATATTTATTTCTGTGGCTATTTGATAAACCTTACTCCCACCATTGTGAAACAATAAGCGACTGTATCATTTTATCCTGAATGCAGATCATAGGGCTTGCTGTATAGAAGGCAACCAAAAATATTTGTTTTTTTTTTAACGTTTATTTTTGAGAGAGAGAGAGAGAGAGAGAGCATGAGCAGGAGAGAGGAAGGGAGAGAGAGAAAGAGAGAGAGAGAGGGAGGGAGAGAGAATCCCAAGCAGGCTCCACACCATCAGTGTAGAGCCCAACATGGGACTCAATGCCACAAACCGTGAGATCATGACCTGAGCAGAAGTCAGGAGTCAGAAGCTTAACCGACTGAGCCACCCAGGCCCGGGGAATCAAAAGCATTTGTAAAATAAATGGATATTTAGAGCAATAATCTTAAGCGGAGTCAGCCTGATTAAGTATATCTACATCCCTGTTTGTATGCACACACAAGTATCTATTTATCTTGTGATCTATATCTTGTGTTGTCACAAGAACTGTATCCAAAGGAAACAAATCCATGAAAATTCTTAGAAACTGCGATTCTTATATGAATCACTGTGGATAAGCTACTATGGGGACAATCATAGTGCTGTTCCAAGAGCAGTGTGAGTTGGGAGGGTTACCGTATATCTGGATTTACTATGATGATCTCATCCTACTGGAGAGGAGAATATTTTCTCGAAAGAAAAAATATTAAGAAAACCAGTCAGGTAGAGGGTAGAAGAAAAGGTAAAGTTGTAGTGGTTGAGGGTTAGAATCATGTCTGATGGGGCTACATTTCAGTTTACATTCTGTTGAACGCTGTTGCAGTAGCATAGGGCACTTAGCTTTCCACTGTCACAATGACTCTTCAAAGGATTATGAAATTGAGGAAACAAATGGGTTGAAACAAGAGGCTGTTGCACAGTATGTAAGTACTTCATTGAATAACCAAAGTGCCATTGTAACTTCTTAAAAAGAGATACATAATACTAATAAAAATCAGATAGATGTACCAAAATTGAACTGAACTAAAATTCAAACAAAAAAAAAAAAAAAAAAGAAATTTATGTGGTTGGTTTCAGTCTCTTCATTACTTAGTTTTCTCACTTGCCTGAAGTGAAAGGATGATAGTAATTTCAATAATAACAATTGTATCTTTAATATTCAATGATATTGAAAATGATGAGGTATTGTTTCTATTTATGGACTGTTAGGAAAGAATGCAAACGACAATGGTTTTCAAGGTAATACAGAAATGAAAACAGTGTAAAAGAGGGTTTTTAAAACTACAAAAGAACAAGAAGTGAGAGGCAAAAACCAAATTAAGAATCAGCACTCTTGCAGAGTAGGAAAACAAATTCTTATGCTAAAAAAATATTCAAGAAAACAAGAAGAATGTGAATTGATGGCAAAAAGGGAAATGGCTTGAAAATTAGGTTGAGAACAATTAATTGAAAACTTACTACATCCTGGCAGTGATTTGCTGGCTAAGACAAGTATCCTTTTCCTCAAGGAGCTTACTTACTTCTAGGCAGAAAGATATAAAAGAAAAAAATTAAAATTAAAGCTGATGCCGGCAAGGACAGCATACAATGTGTGTATAACATAGAGCTATGTAACAGTGGAGTGAGATTATTCTCCATAGACGCATTTAAAATGCTTAAGAAAAAAGGTCTTGATCTAATCTAAACAATGGACTGAAAATTTTCAGGAGATGGTGCACGGAGCAGTAAGTAATCATATATATATAAAAAAAAAAACAGTTGGATGTGTGAAGGAAAACAGAATTTGTACCTTCACGGTCGCATTTTTCAGATTCAAGTCTTACACAACTGTCAGTAATCGACTACTTAAAAGAGATACTCGAAAACATTATTTGCATTCAAAGCACACCACCACATCTTATTTGTTGTTAAATTTCAGCACTGTAAGATTGCGTTTTCCTGTGCATTATGGGTACAATTGTTAACATTACACAGTAAAATGGTAATAATAGTCTGTTTCAAATACATGAAGACTCATTATGTAAATAGAGTGAAACATCTGTTCTGTTTCCCCAGAAGCTCGCAAAGAAGGAAGTGAAAAGTAATGGCAAATACCGTAGTCCTCCCTTTTTTGAGGTTTCACTTTCCCCGGTTTCCATTACTCACGGTCCATTGCAGTGGAAAAGCAGATGGTTCTCCTTCTGACGTATTGTCAGAAGGTCAATGATAGCCTAACTATGTCACAGTGCCTACTTCCTCTCATCACCTAGGCGTTTTATCATCCCACGTGCAATATATTTTGAATGTGTGAGAGAGAGATCACCACATTCATATACCTTTCATCACAGTATGCTATAACTGCTCTGTTTTATTATTCATTGTTGTTATTAATTTCTAACTGCCTAATTTTTAAATCAAACTTTACCATATGTATGTATGTATGTATAGGAGAAAACATAGTATATATATAGGGTTCGGGACTAGCCGTGGACCCAGGCATCCCCTACTGGTCTTGGAACATATTCCCCACAGATAGGAGTTTGGGGGGCGGGGGACGGCTTCTGTATTTAGGTTTATAATATAATATTGGTGCTGTATGACAACGGCAGTCATAAGATTTAATCTTCTGAGGAAAACTTCAAGAAAAGAGATCGGTTTTCTCTCTGGGCTAAGTCCTAGCTGGCGGTAAGGTGAAAGTCATGACTGCAAATTGTAAACCTGTTAGAAAAGAAAAAATACCTTGTCTATCTACACCTAGCATATAATTATAATGACTATTGTTATGACAATTTATTGTCTTTAAGTCAGTTTTTAATATCCTGTACTTTATCAAGATAGTCAAGACTAAGAATCTGCTAGTTTTAATACAGGCTAACTAAATTTCTAATTATCCATGAGATCGTTTCTTCATCAGAATCCTAATTCTCATACTATAATTAGATTTAAATACATAATATTGATTTAGTAGTAATTAAACCTGTATGAAAGTTAGACTTCTTGTAATTTTGTATCAGATACAGACAAAAGAGTTTCAGTTAATTGCTTTCTAGAAAGAATTCTAAACAAGATGTTCTAGATAATGCTATAGAACAAGAGTAATTTTTAGAAGAGAAAAATCTTTGTATCAGAAAAGATAAATAATTATATGGCAGTGATCCAAGAAGATAATGAAAAGAACATGTTTGTATAAAATGAGTCCATGGGGTTGAAAAATATTAATAGAAATATTCCTAGTACCAGTAGATTCTTTTTCAAATGTGCTAAGAAAAATAAATCAAAACCCATGCAGGGTTAAATTTTTGATCGCATAGCTTTTTTATTCTATAATGTAATGTAAATGCATGCATTGTTTCAGAATGCTGAGATTATGGTCTATTAAGTATTAATACTAGTCTCTTCAGTATTTCTCAAAACGTGTGTTTTGAGGTCCCTTTGCTTTAGAATTGCTCAAGGTGTTTGTTTAAAATTCATACTCCTGGGTCTCACCCCAAATAGAATAGACTATCTGTAAGCCCAGGAAGTTTCACTTTAATGAGCACTGTGGTGATTTTTATAAATTTAATAATTTGAAACCTCTTGGGTTATTTGAATCAAATTCCTTTAAAGTAAATGATTTTTATTTGATTTGTGATAACCATATCAAGGGTTTGTTTAAAGATATACTCTAGTTCCTTGTCAGTGCTAGACAATAGTGTTCACTTTGAACTTTGATGCATTGGATTATTCTGTTACAAAAGATAGCAGAAACCCAGGCCATTTTATGGTGAGAAGAGATCATTTAAGAAACTCAGGTATCCCTTACTGTAATAGATACTGAATGTTTCTTCCAAAGAGTGTCTGCTCACCTTTTTTGCAGTGCCCTCTCCCTCTTGAAGCTTTAGTCTAACTATATTTCATATTTCCAAATTCATATCGGTCAGATTAAAATAATGTTCCATTTCTCTGAATTTACCTTGAAAACTTTTCTGAAAAATCCAGACCCCCCCCCAAAAAAAATCTCCGAATAGTCCTGGGAGGCTAAGGAAGTCTCTTTTGTGCTCCGAGGACCAGATCTCCTGGCCTCTTCAGGATATGCCTCATGTTCTTGCTCTGAATTACTAGGAGGATATTTCCCCTGCTCCCATTGTCTGTTGATAACAGCACTCTAACTGGTGCCAGGTGGCGATGGTATTGCTTGCCGATAACTCTCATCACCCAATTCCAAGAACGCTGCCTGACATTTTCATACGAAGTTTTCCATTACTGCTAAACATGTTGCCATTGATGCTGGGTTCATTGTACTTCATTATCTCACAGAAGAGGTGGTGAAGAAAAACAAACGTGATTACTACTGGCTCTTATTTTAGTCTTCTAATTTAGAGTAGTTGGGTTAGAAAACCGTGAGAGACCCAACTTTCTATTGCAAATTACTAGTTCCTCTCATGTCATTGAATTAACCACCTATACTAACCATGCTCCCTAATGATGTCATCTTTCTCAGAAGTCAAAACACTACACCCCTGTGTAATAATAACCAATATTTCATGAATATGAACAGTTTTTTTTCTAGTTTTTATCACACTTATAAATGTATAACTTGCATACAGTAGAACCCATCAGTTTTAAGTGCACGGTTTTATTCGTTGCATAATGAGCATAAGAATGTAGAACATTTCCATCTCTTCACAAAGTTCCCTTGTGTGTTTTAGCAGCCAGTCTTTATGTCCCACCCCTGGTCACTGCCAACAACTGATCAGTTTTCTGTCACTATAGATTTACCTTTTCTATAACTTCCTATAAATAGAATGATACTACCCAGTGGTTTTTAAATATGTCCGGAAATTTTTTTTGTCACTCTTCCCTTCAAAAAAAGGATGCTTAATTCCGCTCTATTTCAGTGCAGGTTGAATTTACTAACTAGCTTTTAATGAACAGGAATGCTGTAGAATTATGCTATTTGATGGCTGAGACTAGATAATAAAAAAGTTAGTTTCCACTTGGTTTTCCATCTCTCTTGGATTATCCTCTCTGAGGGAAGACAGCTGCATGTTGTGACAACACTCAAGCAGCCTGTGAAAAGGCCTGCCGATGGAGAAACCAAGGTCTCACATCAAAATCAGTCCATAATTGCCAGTCATGTGACAATTGGAAGTGGACTTTGTCACAGACTGTGAAGAGTTTGAAACGTTTTCTTACTTGTTATCCTGTCTGTACACTTCTTGCAATCTGGCAGTCTAGCCGACCACGGTTTCATGGTTGCTGGCAGAAGACAGGAGACTCTTGGGTCAGAGAAAAAGGACAGTTTTCCTCACTGCTGTAGCAGTCACCAGAATATCAACATTTGCTCCAGCCCCCGTTGCCACGAGGCTGTATAGTGGCTGGACACACAGTAGGAATCCCAAGGAACAAGTCCCACTTTAGGAAATTCTAGTAGTCTATAATGGATTTTTTATCCCCATCCATTTACTTTTACCCCATCTGCAAAATTAGAATGACTTTCTTGTAGATAGCATATAGTTAGGTCTTTTAAAAAATTACCTATGACACGGGTAGGTTTTTATTGAATGTTTAAGCCAACTTTACTTATTATAATTACTGATATGGTTGAGTTTAAAACTATCATTTTGCTATTTACTTTCTATTTGTCCCATCTGTTTTTTACTCAATTTTTTTTCTTTCCCTGCCATCATTTGCATTAATTGAGGTTTCAATTATTTATTCTGTTCTCCACTGTTTGATTTTTCTCTCCTCCATCTCTGTCTTTGTCTATATTTCTCTCCTTTTGGTAGTCACACCCCAATTTTTTTAAAACTTTTTCTTTTATTCTTTATTTTTGAGAGAGAGAGAGAGACGGAGACAGAGTGCAAGCAGGGGAGGAACAGAGACAGAGGGAGACACAGAATCTGAAGCAGGCTCCAGGCTCTGAGCTGTCAGCACAGAGCCCAATGAGGGACTCGAGCTCACTGACTGGGAGATCATGACCTGAGCTGAAGTCGGACTTTAATGGACATAGCCACCCAGGCGCCCTATTCACACTCCATTTTTCAATAATATTTTTCTGCTTTATGTATATTGCATAATCCTTACAATGATATAGTTCCTTCCTCTACTTCATCCTCTTGGCTGCTGGTGTCATACATTATACTTCCACGTATGTTACGAAACTCAAAATTCATCGCTATTTAATTTTTTTTTGTCTAAACAGTCATTTATCTTTTAAAGAGGTTAAAAATGAGAAAAATGTATCTATATTTACGCACATATTAATACCTGCAGGTATTAAACGGGTGCAATTGTAGAGCTCACTTTGTAAATTCCAGTTCTCTCAGGCATCACAGTGTCATGCTGCCTGCTGTCCAATGCCTAAAAACTTTGGTTTTTACTTTGTGTTTAATTTATTTTGTTTTAATTTATTTTGTGTCAAGTACTCCACTTGGTTCACATAGAAAAGTACATTTAGTACCCTTTATTTCATCTTCCTTGGATGCATTAATTTTGCTGCACATATGAGAAATTTTAGCATGAATAGAATAATTGTTCTGAATGAAAAGATAAAAATTCTTTGAGTGAATTTTATAGGAAAATCAATAGTGATATAATAAAAAGGACGTCTATTTAGAATATAATGTTCACACATTTTTTGTTTGCATGCTTATTTGCTTGGTGTTTCACATAGACAAAATAATCATTAAACTTTCTTGGAAGATTATAGTCATTCAAATAAAGTTATTTAATCATTGGATTTTTAGCAAATATTTAATTAAAGTTCCACCAAGAAAGACATTCCAATATTTAAATATGACACAAAGCATATATACTTGGATTAATACTAAAAGTGCAAATATATGTAAACAGGTTATCATTTACATTTTCATAGGGAGACAAAAAAATACATGTAATATTATGTATTTTAAAAATCTTAATGAATATCAACATTTTGTGTTCATCGGTGTAGATACCGTTCACTCTTTTATCATGCTCCTCTATATTTATATGTTTTATATGTTTTTAGTTATTTGGCAAAGGCTACTTAACTACATGATAAGGCTCAATTGAACCATAAATTTTGCAATAATCTAGTCAGTCTGCCAGGTCTGTGTATTGCAATTCTGATATGAATCCTAACTTATGGTTTGGAATTTAAATAATCTGGGCCACCAAACTATGTTTCATTGGGCATAGGAATGATATGTTATTTGTCCGATGCATTGGGAGAGGCCATAGATCAATAGTGCTTCTAAATCTTGTTTCACTAATGTATCCCAATGGCAGAGAATATCCTGAAGTCAGGGAATTTGGCTTGAAACAAGTGTATTTCATGAACAACCATAAAAATTGTATAATTTTGGATGCACTACAAAAATGTTTTGTGGCATACAATTTAAATTATATATTTTTCCAAAAATGTTTCAATAAATTTAATAATGCTGGAAAGATTCACTATTTTAACTTATCTCAGACTTGGTAGAACATAAGCATGTAGCCATTTTGCTTAATATGGAAAGCATGACATAGAGCAAAAGTTGTCTTCTATTTCGAGGTCCAACCCTCAGCAGCTGTGTAACATCAGGCAATTTATTCAACATGTGTGAGCTTCATATTTCTCAACGGATGAACAGAGACAAATAGTCTTATTTTGCAGTATAATTGTGAATATTGGAATTAAGTACTAGATTGCAGTGAATTCAAGTATGTATCTTTTCAAA